CAGGAATCAGAGTCCCATATTCGCATAGACTCTGAAGGAAAGGCGGAAGAGTGAGTACAACCATTTTATTAGAAGCAAAGACACTGGGGGAGAAAAAAAGTCTTCTGCTGGTCACAGAGCTTTGTTCCTTGGATAGAAATGATGCAGCAAGCGCCATCTCTGTTAGACATCAAGGGCGCATGGCAAGGATATATGGATGGTGATCAATGCTATCACATTTTCTGGAATGCTCACGGGAAAGCTGTTACCGTAGATCTGTTCCTTTATATAAAAGCTTTGAAGTCATGGCTTCCCAGTGCTCTGCCATTCCCAATGTCTAACCACTGGGCAATTGAGATGGAATGGCTCCCTGACTGCAAGGGCTGTGGAGTGCAGTCATTTGGCAGCACACCCTGACAGCACCGTTGTGTTTCATTATTTCCCTTTGAACTTTATGATGGAAGAAATTCTGCTGAGCTCATAACTCCCAAGAGTGGGACATCACAGCCACTTACCTGGAAGAAGGGATATGTAATTTCTCCAAAGAGCCTGTTGGCAATGGTGAGAGAGCAGCCTGGTCTGGGTTCACTGACTGCAGCTAACAGAGCCTGGAACTGGGAATGGACTCCTCCAGCTTCTTCGCACTTCAAACAGGAAAACAGAAGTTTCTCAGTAGGTTTGAGCTTTCCTATGCAAAGCTGGACCTGAGGGTGAAGTGCAGCCTCCCGCTGTACGAGAAGCCTGACTCCACCCAGTTGATATTGCACCAAGACACCGCCTCCAGCTCCCCCTGTACCAGATGTACAGAATGACAACACGATTCCCCTTCAAGGCCCACACCAGTCCACCCCCAAATCACATTGTATCCTACAGTCATCGCTCTGTGCACGCTGAGCTGAAGTCTGCTGGCTTAGAGCGTGGGAGGAGCAAGCTCCGACGTGCCTTTGGCATGGCCTGTAGACAAACCTTTGTGAGTGGCAATTTAAGCACTTATCACATTTTAGATTGGTACTGTTGTTTTGGTTAGAAACCTGTAATGAGAAGGCTTAGCTGTTGAAATGTGTGATCTCACAAGGCCCCTTAAATAACTAATAAAAGAATGGTAATAAGCAGGTCTGCAAATCGAGACAGAGAGGCTGCTCAGCCCTGCCGTGCTTTCTAATTAAGTGATGGTTTGCAAGGAAAAGGGCTGACAAACCAGCACCTGTTGCTTCATCTCAGAGCTGCAACTGTGTCTTACCTTCTCAGAAGGGTATTCGTTTCCCTGGCTTGTACTGCTCAAAACTTCACTGAAATGAAACACCTGCAATGTAAATGTTGGGTGAATGCAGCTGAGTGATGGTACCTCAAAGCTAACAGTGTTGCAAGCCTATCTCAACACACAGTCAGGCACAGTAAATGTGGAAAGTCCAGTTGTCCTTTATCACAAGATCCTTCCAACTGAACAAGAAGTTTTCATAGAGGGTGAGTTCATGAAATCTTTTAAATCTTTCAAATCTTTCTTCTTGGAGTGATGCCTCCAAAACGCTTTCTTTAGCACTAATGTATTCATTGAATGATCAATTACTGTAATCGTGTTTAGTCTGAAAGAGTTTGGTATTAGGAATAGCATAAGAGAGCGGTTTTTTAAAGGTATACTTGCACATCAGACTTTTGGATGCTTAGGAACTATATCAGACAGTACTATCAGCCTCTTAGTTCATATCTTGCCACCGTCCCCTTTTCGGAGCAAAGGAAACCCACCTTCTCAATCTGTTTTAGTGTGTTGCCCCTGGCTCCGAGGACGACCATCCCAAAGGCAGCTGAGAGACTTAGCGGGGAGAAGAAGATGTTTTCATTTTTTTTTATTTTGCTCAGCTCTCTGAAAAAGTCAAGACAGAACTTGGCATTGGCTGCGCTGAGAGAGCACATTGTAGTGCTGCAATCGCCTGCAACAAGGGAAACAAAGATTTAGTCTTCTCATCCTTACGCCTGCTGAGCTTAGACACCTTGGTGGAGCACAGTAAGCTTTCCTGCAGTACCATGGCTGAATTGTTCAGCACATGATGGAAGATTCCTGACTTGCCACATCTGGGATTTCATAGTGAACTTCACATTGAAACAACTCATCTGATAACCAGTACCTGAATGGCAGGAGAAACACATTTTCAGAAACAGTATTCTGAGTTCAGCTGTTTCTCCAGCTCAAGCAATAGCTATGGCTTTGTCACTTAGCACTAACCTTGTCCCAGCTCACTTTATGTCCCAAACTTTCTTGCCTCGAGTCCTCTAGGTATAGCGCTTATTAATTACACTCCTTGATCCTACCTCGCTCTCTGTGTCACTCTCTAAAAACTTTGTGTCTATTAATCAGCTGTGCTTCGCATACTGTGTCCATTAAGGCTGGTTGCTTAATGAACATTTGACAGAAAATTTAATTACAGATAGGCTCACTTAGCAAGATTTTCAACAAGGCACATTGTGTATTAGTGGAAAATTCCAGTCATATTTTTTATTTTATCTGCAGCTTTAACACTTTTCCCAGATATACTTCAGTTACGATGACAATTATTACCAGCAGATGATCTCGTATGTTCTGCAAAACTCTTCACATCTTACAACTAGGACAGAGTTCCTTTCTTATGAAAGTCTTTTCCCAGTGTCTTCATCCAGTCAACTGATGCAGAGGCATCTGACCCCTTAGAAAGTCAGTTTAGTATTTTAGAGTTTCCACTATTCTAAGTCATTTTTGGTTTGATTCTTACTGAGACTGAATAACTTTCTCCACAGATGTGGAAGATGCTTTTCCCCCATTACACAAGAAGAATTAAATTATCTGTATAAATATTTAGAATATGGAATGGTGTAGAAAGATTATGTTCTCATAAATTACCAATCTGGATCATGCAGAAAAAGTGGGAAAAGGTTTGGGTTTAATCTTCTTTTCGAAACACATCTGGTAAAGCCATTGTGCAGGTTAAGCACAGCTTCATTACACAGCCCATACATTTTAATGTATTCCAAAACATTGCACAGCATTTTGAAAATATTCTCGCTTCCTCAAAACATGTTATATACAATGTATTTGTGCTAAGCAGATATGTACATCACTAATGCACGTATCAATCTTTAGACATTTTATAGTTATGTCATTTGTAACATAAAGGTTAGAATTAAAGGTCAGTGAGATATTTACCTTCTCCTCAGGACTGATGGTGTCAACTTGACTGTTGAATTTGATGACAGGGCTTCTGGAGCAATGGGATATAAAGCCATTGCCACTCCCAGTGGCAGCATAATTTTCATTCATGATGAATCACATTCCTGTCTGTTGCAAGCACTTAGTATAATTAGGGGACCTTTTGTGGAATCTTGAATTTTTCCTTATCCCCAGGAGTTCAGAAAGAAGTCACCATTCCAAATGCATACTGAGATGTAAAAAAAAGTCTACCTAGTTATAAAAAAGAAAGCAAACACCTAGAAACAAGGGAGTTTTCAGGCTTTTTACCTGTAAAAAATAAACTCTACAAAACTTGATGTCTGCTCCTGTCAGAACTGGCACCACAGAATGCAAACAAATATGTTTTTGTAATAGAAATTAATTATTAAAACCTCTGCAGGTGGCACAGTAACAAGGGAAAGAAAAATATAAAATATAAAAGTACCTATTTGGCCAATTGTGATGCGAGGCAGTGGTGCCAGAGTGGAGGCAGGGCAATTCCCTTTACCTGCTCCAATTCTGTGATTCTGAAGACTTCTGTCTTAAAGATCCCTTCCAGGGAGCTTTCCTTGCCTGTTTTCTTCCTCAACTGGAAATTTAGTCCTTAATGGAGAAGAGGAATTTGGCCATTTATTCCAGAGTTTGTTGAATAACCAACAGCTTGGACAAACAGTAGCTTGCTTTCATTCGCATGACATCCTAGAAGAGCGAGCCCGGTGCATGCACAGCATGGCTGTGCCAAGTGTGCACATTGGGTATGCTGCGGCTGAGCACTCTGCAGTTGTTGCAGTGATGCAGCACAGATTGTGTGCATTCGTATCAGCCACACAGCATGTGCAGACTAACTCTGGTATACCTGGGATGCTATGCTTCCTGCAGAGAGACTGCACTTAGGGGGTCCTCATGCATCACTTGCACTTTCTTAGGTTTTCCAGGTGGAAATATGGAGTCCTGTTCCTCTCCTGGGGATTCCTGATACTGTGAGTGGCGAAGGCATTTGTGGCACAAGGGGCAAAACATAGAGAAACTATCCCTGTCCACACAGTCTTCTTTCAAAATCTTGCATTCTGCAGATGTGTTTACAAGAAAGCTGGACGAGTTTTGTCCAGGCAGGCTTTCCACGAGACACTAATGTGTCAGGTAAGTTTAGCCCAGGACTTCTCATCACTCCTCATTTTTATCAGTGACTCTGAGGAAGTCTGGCCCTTGCCTTATATTGCTTCAGCAAGGCATAGGCAGCAGGGACAGAGCAACCTAATTATAAGTAGTAGTATGTTTCTGGGGTTATTTTCTTGAAAAAAGATCTTCCTTCACATTTAGGTTGATATGGTGTGTGGATGGGCAAGTATTTGCATGAGTATATGCAAGCACAAATACTTATAACACTGTTTTGTAAGAAGTGCTTAGTTATCACTACTAACATATACTTACATATCAACCTGATCAGATATTAGGCTTCTCAGGTATATAGGAAGCTGTGAATGCAGTTTCAAATAAGTCGTAAGATATTCATGAGTTCATTTCTTTTCTGGTTAAAATTTTCTCATCTCTTTTTCTTGGAGAAAATAGAAATTAAAAACACGCTGTTCATTCAAGCCTTGAGGAGAAGAGGATTAGACCTGCACAGATGTTGCCTGAAGGGAAGAAAGCCTTGGAGTCTAGTTTTGCTTGCTTAATGATGGGGCAAGAAAACTTCCCAAAGAAGTATCTGGTTTGCTTTCCTGGTTTCTACTGAGGAAGTGGCTGCTCTCCACACAGTCACTTCAAAACCCAGCTCCTGAGCCTGTTCCTCATGTTGTCACCTAAAGGAAACTGCAGAGCAGAACTGGGCAGATGCTGTTCCCTTTCTTGCAGTGGTGGGCTGTTCTCTTATTCTTATTTTTGGTACTAGGCATAGCACAGCTGGAGGAAAAATGTAGTGGAATATAAGAGGGGAAAGTATGCAAGTAGGAGCAGCAAGATGCAACAGCTCTAAGTCAGAGTAGCATTCAGTCATCTCCCAGAACAGAAGGGAGATGGCTTTCAAGCAGCAAGACAACTTTTGTTCAGCACTGTTTAACTGTTTGCAGTCATTTTGGCTGGAAGTCTCAAACTTTTCCTTCACTTGCCAGGGACATTTCTGTTACTGTTTCTGATGGCCTTGGGGCCAGGACCAAGGGAATGAAGACCTCTCTATATGATTTATAAATTGCAAAGAGTTCTGATGAAATGGGTGAGAGAAGGCCAAAATGAGGAACAAGAGATCCACTCAGTGATGTCAATCAGCAGAACACTGCAGTAAGCCTGGATGGCTGTGGTTCTCCCTTGGCTTTTTTCTCACCGTTTGCAGCCATATGCTTCCCTTGCTGTCAGTGTCTGCAGGACGCAGTAGGGAAGCAGATTCTTGTTGAGGAACCAGAGGCTGATCTCAAGCTTGATAGCAAAGGCTCTTCTTGTCCCTTTCATCTGACAAAATGCACATTCTGCTACCACTCTGAGACTGCTCAAGTGGTAATTACAGAGTACCTGATGTGTCTGAGGTTGTCTGTGAGTAAAGGTACCATTGGATAAGTAGGATTGCTGAATAGCAAGAACAAAACAAGGACTCCTGTGATTTTCACTGGGCCAAGGAACAAGAGGGCCCACCCTATTTGCCAGACATCTGCTACATAAGCATCACAAAAAATAACAAACCTTACGCATCATATCAGAGCAATTAGAGTGATAAAGTATCTGTGGTGATCCACAGCAACTTTACCATGACAGAAAAATACCTCTTGAAGGTGATGAAGAAGTGGGAGAGACTTCAGATGTTGCTGATTGTCTCGGCTCATTTTGGAAGTACCACGTGAGTAAAGTCTGGTATTAATTCCTGTGATTTTCAGGCTGTATGAGTCAAGAACCTAGTGAAAAGCAAGTATCACCTTCTAAATTGCACTGCTGTCTGCTGACTCTCCAATACTGAATTTATTCGCAACAGAGTGCAGGAACTGATGAGCATCAACTTTGCAGAGACTTTGGCCACCTCATGCTGGTCATTCAACTTGCTGAGGAAGAGGTAAGCCCAGCACTGTCTTTTTCCACCTGAACTTCTTTCTGCACCAGAAGTCTTTCCATGATTTCAATGGATTTACTCTCCAGGGAGATTTAGACATGACACAAAACAGCATCCAAAAATTCTTCATCTTTGATTCACTTCTCTTATGGGCATCTAAAAAAAGCTCTAGCAATGCCGCCTGTTGCACCTTCTCTGCTCACACCCTTTCTCACCTGCTCATGATCCATAACATGAAAAAGAGGAAATTACATTTGTAAGCAAGGATGTCTGCATGTGTCTTCTTGACTGGCTTCCACATAGTAAGGGGTTATGGCTAGAGAGATAAATATTTCTGCATTATGAGCCTATTTTATAATGCCAGCTGATCCAGGCTTTGTGACTGATCTCATTTACAGTATCTCTGGATATCATTCCTTTGTGGCAGTTTAAATCATTTTATAAGCCAGGTCTTTTTACCTAAATAACAAATGCAGCATTTTTTAAAACTGTGAGATACAGAATGTCCATAAATATTTCTCTCCCAGCTCTGCCTCAAGTAGTTACACTTCCATCCATCTGAATGCATAGCTTTTGTTGTCAGCCAAGCATTGTGAAGTGCAGTGACAAAGACAGTAGAAAACTTCCTTTGCGTTTTAAAAAGGGGCTGTTTTTCTGTGTTGATTAACCACAATAGAT